ATACTTGGCAGATAAATTACTTTCGAGAGGATAATAAGAATAATTCTTATTCTGCTTTTTAAAAACGTACTGAATTCCATTTAAATTTCTCATGGATCTGTCAATCTGACTTAACCATTATCACCTCACAATTTACCTTTTTTAAAATTCATATCCAACCGTTCCAAGCTCCTAATTCCACTATTGACTATTTCAAATCAGCTATTCACCTCATTTTGTTAAAAAAATTAAATATATATCTGTGAAAGATAGAGTTTATTTTTTAATATACTTACAATATTATTCAAACACCAGGAGTTTAGTCTAGGTCCTGCTCTCTGTTGCACAGTAAGCCAATCACTAAAATAACAAGAATTTCCAAGGGAGAAGACTTTACTCAGTTGCTGCAGCTGGCAAGAATGGGAGATCAGTCTCAAATTCACCTCCCCAATCAACTAAAACGGGGGGTTTATGTAGTGGGGAAGGAACTGGCTACATGTGGAAAAGCAGGAATTAGGGAAAGGTAAGGAAGAAAAGTTGGTCAACAGGAAATAGGTCATCTGTTAGGAAAACAGGAATTAGCAATGAGTAAGAAAGTAATCATGACAAATGAGGGGCCTGGCATCTCATTGTCTAGATGTGGTGATCTGGTAAGTTTCAGTTTCTTGATACTATCTGAGAGGCCTAATGGTCAGTTTCCTGAGAAAAGGAACTCAGATAAAACAAATGTAAGTTGCTCAAATTTTAAAACTGTGAGGATCAATTTCTATGTTTATTCAAAAGAAACTATAGCATCAATTTTATGGGACATTTAGGCCAGTTTCAACAATTCAAAATAATTATCACACTTAAAAAATTAATATTAATTACTTAGTTTCATTTAACATCCTAGTGTAAAAATTTTCTCAATTTTCTCATAAAGTTGAACAGTTGTTTATTTGAGTCAGAATTCAAATAAGCTTCTGTACATTACAATTGATTTTAAGTTCTTATAAGACTCTGTAAGTTTTCTCTTCATAATTTTTCTTGCAATTTATTTGTTAAAGGAATTGGGTCATTTGTCCTATCGAGTGCTCCACTGTCTGTGTTTTAATTATTGTATTTCTGTAATATAGATCTTTGAAAATTTGTCTCTATTAATTGTGTTAATAATACACTTCCTGTTACAACACTTATGGTGCTGGTTTGGTGACAGGTGACATACTATGTTTTCAAAATGTATTAGTTTTATTATTTCTTTATTTAATTTTTTATTTTTTCTGAGCAGAGTCTCACTCTGTCACCCAGGCTGGAGTGCAATGGTGCTATCTAGGATCACTGCAACCTCCGCCTCCTGGATTCAAGCAATTCTCCTGCCTCAGCCTCCAAAGTAGCTGTGATTACAGGCTCCACCAGGCCCAGTTAATCTTTGTATTTTTAGTAGAGATGGGGTTTCACCATGTTGGCCAGGCTGGTCTCAAACTCCTGACCTCATGATCCACCTGCCTCAGACTACCAAAGTGCTGGGATTACCGATGTGAGCCACTGTGCCCAGCCTAGTTTTATTTTTTAAGAGACAAGAGTAGGCAAATTTCCAATATCTATGATAGTACTGGTACATTTGATGAAGAGATTGCCTTGAAGAAATCTCATTATGATTATAAATTTAAATAACTAAAGTTACATTTTTTCATTACGTAAAAGGGTACAAAGCACAGTTATGAAAGCTTAGAGATTTAATATGTGTCTAGAAGGTGATAAAATGTTGCATAGACTGGTGTAATTTAAGGTGATACTTGAAAAATGGTTAGAATTTGGTATAATAGACATAGGTAGGGAGTATTCCCATAGGAGTTATAGCATGAGTAAAGGCACAGAAAAATAGAAAAGTACAAGTGAGATAAAAACTCCTTTTGTCTTTTATCCTGTGACAAAGATAGTAGAACATAAACATAGAAACATAAGAATATTTTATAAGGCTGGGTGCCGTGTCTCACACCTGCAATTCCAGGACTTTGGGAGGCCAAGGTGAGCAGATCAAGAGGTCAGGAGTTTGAGACCATCTTGGCCAACATGGCGAAACACTGCCTCTATTAAAAATGCAAAAAGTAGCCAGGCGTGGTGGTGGGTGCCTGTAATCCCAGCTACTTGGGAGGCTGAGGCAGGAGAATTGCTTGAACCCAGGAGGTGGAGGTTGCAGTGAGCCGAGATTACGCCACTGCACTCCAGCCTGGGTGACAGAGCAAGACTCCATCTCAAAAAAAGAAATGAATATTTTTTAGAGGATCTTGAATATCAAAATTTACTTTGAATCTTTACTAATTAGCTGCATGTTTTAGAAAATTTATTGTATGTCTTTGACCTTTGCTTCCTTCACCTATAATTTCACTTCTCTATTTGAGACAAACAATAATATCAAGACCCAAGCCTAGATACATTCATTTCAATTCAAATATTTGATTCTGAAGTATGAATTAGATTAGCAATACAACATTTGAATTTCTCTAGGTCAGAGGTATTGTGGGACGTATTCAAGGCTTGAGTTAGAGTGATAAACATCGGAATTGATGGAAAACACAGGTACAGATGGAATTGTAGATATTGAATTAGTATGACTAGGTATTGATTTCTCCTCTGTAATAATTGAAAGGGAAATGGAAAGAGTCAGCTGTTGAGATTTTCAGCCTACATTATTAAGAAAATTGTGGTCCTGTGGATAGAAATAAAGAAATTCTAGGAAGGAGCTTATTGAGAGCTGGGGAATAAAAGAAGGAGAATGGAGAGTTTGATGTGGTGAGTTTGAAGCACACATAAATGGACAGGTCTTTCAGTTGGTACTGATGGATGGGAATACGAACAGAGGTTAATTTTAGGAGTAGAATTTTAGTTTAAATCTTAGTATAAAGTGAATTACTAAGTAAACAATGCATAAAAATATTTGAGGAAAGAGGACATACTCTTGAAGGAAAAATAACATGCCTTTAAGAGGTGGGGAAGCAAAGACCCCAAAAAGGAAAGAGACAGTGGGACAAAAATGGTGGTGAATTAATTGGGTCAGCTTCCTGGAATGTCAGTCTATGAATAGGAGAGGCTCAAAAAGGAGCAGGGACCAACATGGTTAAATACAAAGACTTTAGAACACAGTGAACTTTGAAGTAAACACTTCAAGATAACAGCTTCACCAGTGCAAGAAAGCAGGACAGAAGCTACCTATTAAGGAATTACAGTGAGAGGGTTTGGTGTAAGAATTCAGGTTCCAAGTAGAGTATTCTTATACAATAAATTGGAAAACACACATGGACCATAAAATGAAATTGATTTTGGCCAAATCATTCAAACTTCATGGACTTTGTTGTTGTTTTTCCAGCTCTATGCTAAGAATTATATTATGGCACTTCTTTAAAATCATGAGGTGGAGGGACCAATAAGGTGACTTCAGCTCACTAAAAGAAAATATATTGTTTCATTGTCATCTATTTTGCTAATAGGTGTGTTCAATTTAGAGAAAGTAGGGTAGACATAGTGGTAAATAGATAGTTCTCTTACTCTTGAATTGACAAGTAGACTGAGAAGTTCACAAAAGGTTTTTCCTCACTTTGCATGTTTTTATTCTTTAGTTTTCAAAATGCTATTTCACTGAATTGAGACAGTTTGGTTTTTATTTCTGAATTACTTTCTGATAGTATTATTACTGAGGCAGTTTAGCTAGTTGTGGCCAGTTGCTTTGGTGCTCAGCGTAGTTAGAATACAGATTGCGTTACACACAAATAACAATTTATCACATGCCGAATGTGCTCTGTGAATCTGAAAGCTCCCTCTATATGAGGATATATTTCCCTCAAGCCAGGCAATTTTAAGGACCTGCAAGCTCCCACCACAGCCTAGCTCGGTGTAGTAAAAGTTATCTTAGTAAACACATCATCATCCTAAGTAATCCTTTCCTTGACTAAAATACCCCCTGCTTGGCAGAGAAGCAATTGGATCAACTGCAGCAGGGCTCCAAGTGATCCCACCCTGATTCCAACACCCCCATGTTGTTCTTGTTTCCTTGGAGGCCTTGAAAACTGTGCATGCACAACTGGGTTCATGTAGAGCCATCCCAATGCATCTGAGAAGTGATTCTCCACTTGGGCATCAACCCATGACCATCACAGGCTATGTGAACATGTCCTGGGTTTATCGGGTCTAACAATATCTTTCAGAACACTGATTCCAGAACTCTTAGGTAACTCAGAGATCAGTTGAAGTTAATGTGTAAATGTGCATTTTATTTATAAAGTATTGCTCTTCAAAATATGGCTTAAATCATGCTTTCTTGTGTGTCTTTGAACAAATATTTTGATTTAAAAAATCATTGAGACATGTAATTACAGAATGCCCAGAAGTTGTCATGAGTATTTGTTAAGTTTGTTTATGAAGAACTTAAGCCCACTTTAATTTCTGTTTGTATATCAATCTTCCCTGAGACAAAACATCTTTTATTGTTTACTCCCTTGAAAATAATCTAGTCCTAGAGGCCAGCAATAACTTATTAGACAGAAACCAGATTATTTAATCACTTGACTTTCAAAGTAATATTTAGATTGAAAAAAGCAAATTAGAAGAGTTTACAAAAGGAACTAATGATTGTCATCCCACACCCTTCTTTTTCATTTTAAACTTTTTAAGAAAGTGATCTTTCATCATGTCAATAAAACTTTAGTTTCCCTGAATTTCACAGTCATTTACAAGGTTGAATTTTTTATATGATGAAATAATACCATTTTTAAAATATTAATAATATTACACGGCCATAACTGCAAAGTCAGTGATAACACACTTTATGACAAGGTGTGCGCTGCATTATTTCATAGTACATTCATAATCCAAGGTCATGTCGGACATATAACATTACCATAATTTTCTAATTAATTTGTTCTTTATACATGTTTATACGTGTTCCAATTGCATTTCATTAATTCATCGTTTTCTTGTAAGTTTGTGCTTTCCTTCCATGTTCAAAGAATCTCTTTAATTCAATTTCTCTGTTTCTCCTCATACAGTCTGGCAGCCAGATATGCAACTCAGTCTAATCACAGTGGAATTGCAACCAGTCAAAAAAAGCCTACTAGGTCAGTTAATATTCTCTAATTTATTGCTTCTTAGTGATATTCAAGTAAATACCCAGTGCTATTTTGTCCTATCTTTTTTTTTTTTTTTTTAAATGATGCACTTCTGCATGAGAAGTTTAGAGCACTAAAGTTTTCCAGGAAGATTTTCATACACAGTCTCAGGGATGAGCGTGTTTGTGTTAGATAATTAAATGGGTTTTGGCATCTTTTTTAGTTTAGTTATATGTAGTGCTATAACTGGGCTGAACTCTAGGTTCTAGGTTTAGAATCAATCAAGAAAACCATGACTTTGAATGCCCAATTCTTTCCAAGTCACATAATATGGAAGTTATACAACAAAATTGTAATTACTTTTTGAGATGGGCATGCATTAATTATTGCACATTTTAATGGAGAACTGAAAAGCATTGGTAGATTTTAGTGGGGAAGTTAGTACCAGGTCAGTCTGGACTGTTCTTCCATCTATAATAGTTTAATTTTTTTGCTCCTTTATGACATAGGTATAATAAAGACAGCCTGTTATAAAAAATGATAGTACCTTATGTACTGTTTGGAAAATAATGACCTATAAAAATGTTTTGAAAGAGTTTGATTTTTAAAAAATGTTAAGTTGCTGAAGGCATGATGGTAGCATGGAACAGCTGAATACAGCCGCAGCAAAAGAGTTATGCACCTCTGATTAGTATGTGATCCTTTGTGTCATCTTACTCACTGGGGAAGTATCCAGCAGTGGTTTATTAGTTATTGTTCCATTGATGAATCATATTATGCAATGTTTGACCACAAGGAATGCATCTGATGCTTTGACTTGAGGTAGGTGTCTTTCTCCTTGCCTTGGCTTTCTAAGTTATATTCATTTCCAGAGTAGCCAACATGATTCTGGAAAGACAAATTTGAAAGGTATTTAATTAAACACTAGAATAAATGATATAAATTATGATGGGTAAGAAACAGTGACCTGCTATGCACAATGAGCATTTATTTTTGGTTGTTTGTTTTTGTTTTTGTTTTTGTTTTTGTTTTGAGACGGAGTCTCGCTCTGTTGCCCAGGGTGGAGTGCAGTGGCCAGATCTCAGCTCACTGCAAGCTCCGCCTCCCGGGTTCACGCCATTCTCCTGCCTCAGCCTCCCGAGTAGCTGGGACTACAGGCGCCCGCCACCTCGCCCGGCTAGTTTCTGTATTTTTAGTAGAGACGGGGTTTCACCGTGGTAGCCAGGATGGTCTCGATCTCCTGACCTCATGATCCACCCACCTCGACCTCCCAAAGTGCTGGGATTACAGGTGTGAGGCACTGCGCCCGGCCAGCATGTAAAATATTTTTAAGTACTGTATTTTGATAGATCTCTCTCTCTCTTTCTCTCTCTGTCTCTCTCTCTCTTTCTCTCTCTCTCTCTCTTCCCCTCTCTCTCCCCCTCTCCCCCTCTCCCCATCTCCCCCTCTCTCCCTCTCCCTCTTTCCCTCTCTCCCTCTGTCCCTCTCCCTCTCTCCCTCCTCTCTGCTTCATCTCATTTCCCTTTTTATTACTTTGATGAATAATCTGAAGGCCTGCCCTGGCCACCTGTCAAATTAGGGTAATGAGAAGAGCAAATGTATTTTTAAATTTGTTTTAATTTGTTCTTCTAAGGACTGAAGATCATTTGACTTCATGGGTTGCAGTAAAGATTAAAATGTATTTTAATTATTTTCTGGAAACGGGTCAATTTGCATTACAAGCAGGGCGAGTTTTGTGACAAAATCTGTTTATATGTGTGAGTTTGGAATGAACTTTCTAAGCCTATGCCTATGTCTACAGAAATAGTTCTCAGATTTATTATGATTAGGACACTTGGCCAAATTCATTAGTTGGTTTCCTTCAACAGAGTGCAATCACTGGTTCTGTAAATTCCTAGCATCTCTGGTTATTGTGCTATACTTAACAAATCCTTGTAGATTCACTTGAGCAAAAGTTAAATGCTGGAATCAATTGTAAAATATTCCAATCTTTTGTATGACACAATGTCCAATTAGCAAAATAGTTAAAGGCACTATTTATCAGCCATATGTATTTAAACACTAAAATATAATTCACATTTTGAAGCTATTAACCGTTCTAAGAAATCAACAGTTTTGTTAAGTTGGTATTTGGTTTTTTTGGTCCCTGATATTCATTCAATTTTATAATGACCATTACTATTATGAAAGCACTTATATTTTCTGAAGGTGGTTTGATGTTCTAATATTCTATGAAAATGACAAAGTCAAGTAGTAGTATAAAGGTGAGTAAAATGTTGAGCATGTAACAGCTGGATTGTGAAATTTTGATATATCGGATACCAATATGAGAGACATTAATAATCTTTGCTTTAAAAAATTTATTAAAGATGATTATAAAAAATAGTGCTATATTTGTAGATTTTGAATTCTTGTTTTCCTTTCAAATAAAAATTTTCAGAGTAGTACACAGTGACATTCATATGGTGGCAGCAAATACTAAACAAAACTTTCAATATCATATTTTCTAAATAGATCTTGGAATGTCAGTATTAGTTCTCGGCCAGATGCCGTGGCTCACGCCTGTAATCCCAACACTTTGGGAGGCCGAGGCGGGATCACTTGAGGTCAGGAGTTTGAGACTAGCCTAGCCAACGTGGAGAAACCCCGTCTCTACCAAAATACAAAGATGAGCCGAGCATGATAGCCAAATGCCTGTAATCCTAGCTACTCAGAGACTGAGGCAGGAGAATCGCTTCAACCCTGGAGACAAAGGTTGCAGTGAGCTGAGATCGTGCCACTGTACTCCAGTCTGGGCAACAGAGTGAGACCCTGTCTCAAGAAAACAAAAACAAAAACAAAAAAGAATGTCAATATTAGTTCTTCATTTCTAAGTTTTAATTTATAGATTAAATACACCTATAGAAGATATGTTAGTAGTATAAAATCAAAATCTAGTAATTGCATGTTTTAGGCACAATTCATTACATAATTGGTCACTGAAATTTTAATTTGGAAATTGCTTAAGAGTGAAATGAATGATCCAAACTGATATTTTAGTTCAAATAAAGCAATAGTAAGTTATAACCTCCAGTCAAACCACCTCTAATTATAAGATAGTCTGTTAATATTTCTTCATATCCTATAATTCATACACAAAGAGTAGCTAAAACTATTGTCACTACATGTAAGCATATTTTAAATTGTCATCCAGCTAACAGTGATTTTCTTCTGAGATCTACATCTTTTCTTGTTATATCTCCTCTGTGATCAGTTGGCCAAACTTGTGAAATAAGCAGCTAAGTCTAGATGCTTATTTTTGTCAAGGAAATGAAAGAGATTTTTTGTGTGGCAGACCAGTGAAATGTAATTTAACTCATGACCTGGGTCTTGGTACTATGTTTTCATTAGTGTAGCTAAGTAACTTAGATATTCAGTGAGCATTAGCTATTCCCTCTTGTTCAGTAACTTTCTTGTAATTAATATCCAAGCAAACTTTCTATGTAACTACCTACAATAAAAACAAATGCCTTATACACTGAAAAGAACAACTTAATAACTGAAATAGCTGATGAATGTGCTCAGAATATAAAGTTAAGTGTTATTGTTTCCTTTACTTTTCATGTAATTGTTACAGTACTTTTAAGGCAAAGTTTTATTCATCAGGGATGGGGTGAGTATGACTATTTTTAGTTAAGGTTTGTTTTAATTATTCTATGTTGTTATAATTATGGAGGGACATGTTTATTGAAAAGTGAAACAAGATTTTTTCTGAAGATCTCCAACATTGGGCTTAGCTATTTATTTGTCACTTCTATCACCATTTTCTGCTAAATATATTTTAGAACATCCTATGTTGTAAATTTCTGACTTTTATGTCCCGACTCAGCACCTCCTGCTCCTTACCTTTTTGTAATATACAATAATGATGTAATTTTTCTCCTACTATTTCAGGCTTCCAGGGCCCTCTAGGGTGCCTGCTGCAGGCAGCAGCAGCAAGGTCCAGGGAGCCTCTAATTTAAATAGGAGAAGTCAGAGCTTTAACAGCATTGACAAAAACAAGCCTCCAAATTATGCAAATGGAAACGAAAAAGGTAAGTGTTTGTTACCTCATTATGACACAAGTCTAACATGAGTCTTGTGAATTCCATGCTAAATCTAATATTTGAGCAGCCTAACAGCTTTGGGCCTACAGATGTTATCAGTGGAGTTTCTTTATGTTTCCTAACTGTCCCCTCCTGACTGCCAGTTTTCTGATCTGAAGAACACTTTAAACAAATCAACTCATTTATTTTGAGTTGTTAGTTATATATGCAAGTATAAATACTGTTTTTTAAAAACAGGTCCTTCCAAATGCTTGTCAATCACATTTTCTTATGTCTTTTTATGTTTTTGAAAATGTATCCTGAAATCATAAAGCCATACTGAATTTATTTGAATTCTTAGCTTCAGTTAAGAGTCATAAGTGTTTCTGGCAGTCAAGTTGAAACATAATTACAGTAGGTTTTTATCTTTGCAAGCAGCAGATCCCAGAGATACAATGACCTCAGTTTTCCCCAAAAGACAAATTATTCACATTTGTTTTGTTTTCTTGAAATAGTGCATAACATAACTATCAAATCACAAAATCAAGGACATTAAGCGACAGTGTCTGTTAAAGGCGTATTGTAAATGAATCATATGCCGCACAGTTCTCTGTGATGTACAAAGCGGGTATTTAAAGAGGTGCTGATTTGATGCTTGTCACCGAGTAGCAGGGAGGACGGGGACGAGTATGTGTAGTTTACACCTCAATCATGAGGAAATGAAGAACTTGTGCTGTTTTAAGTAGTATGGCTGTGTGAGGAACTAGGGTGTTCTACTGGATTTTGAGGAAGTATTTTCAAATCAATAGAACTTCAAACTTTCCTTCAGAGTGTTAGGCTCTACATGGAAAAACACATGAAATTAAAAAGTGGCACGAATGTTTAGTTAGTAGAACATTTGCCAAATTAGGATCGAATAATTCAACCATGTGCAAACATTTTTGCTCAAAATAGATAATTGTGAATTGTTTCATATAGGCAAATGATTAGACAACTTCCTCTTACTCAAATGTGAATGGACAGATGTGATCTAGAAGCAGGACACTCTTGTGTGAATATTCCCTTTTGCCTAAAGCAAAAGTGGACAGACTTTAAACCCCTGAGAGCAGAGCAGTGCGTGTTAAGATTGTAATATCCTAAGCTCTTGAGTTAAATGGAAAATGAAAAAACAAAAGTGTGTATTTGGAAGTTAGGAATGTTTTCTTTAAAATGTAAAATAAAATTTTAGATTTAAGATCACAAGAAACATTACCAAAGACTTATACTCTTCCTGGGGCTGAGGGAGATGACATTTCCTCACCAGAAAAAATAATGCCCTCATTTCCTGACTTTTCTTGAAAATATTATACAAGTTCAGGCTAAAACTTCCTTTACATGTGGGAAATTTCTAGGGGAAGCTAACAGGCTCAGAAATAAAGATGTGTTAATTAGGCTGCCAAAGTGTCCAATTAAGCAACATGATACCACCGTTATTAATATTCTTGCAAGAAATTACTACTAATGTTTGTAAATAGACTTAGAAATTCATTCAATGAATTAACACTTTTATGTCTTAATTTATCTGAATTTTTCTGTAATGTGAAAATATTTTCTTTAACTTATTTCTGGCATCTAAAAGTAAAATTCCGATGATAGACAAGCATTAATATTTTTCCATGGCCACTCAATTCATACATACCTTCCCTACCTATGCTTAGAAAGTAGTGCAAAATTAGAAAGTAGCAATGTTGATAATAACCACAAGGTGGAGACAGATGTCACGTAATATGCAGTCTGCTCATATAAAGCACGTTTCCTTAGACAAGAGTTTTCGTATGATATAATAAAGACATCTGGAATTTGTCTTCTATGCAATATGAAATTTGCTATTAAACGTAGAGTTAAAACTTTATGTCAATAGATGCAATGACAATGTTTATAAATTAATTATTTCATGCTATATTTCCAAAATATTATCTTAAATTATAAAAGCAAACTAGATAATAATATATTACATATAAAACAGTTTATAAAAATATAAAAAAATTAGCCAGGCGTGGTGGCGGGCACCTCTAGTCCCAGCTACTCAGGAGGCTGAGGCAGGAGAATGGCGTGAACCTGGGAGGCGGAGCTTGCAGTGAACCGAGGTCGCGCCACTGCACTGCAGCCTGGGCGACAGAGCGAGACTCCGCCTCAAAAAAAAAAAAAAAAAATTATAATCTATTCTGTGTTCAAATGGTACATCTTTTAATAAATATGTTTGTTTTAACTTTTTTAAATATGAAGATTTATAGTTCTAGAATAATGTTTATAAAAATATACAAATCCATCTGGTGATGAATTGACCTCTATCACAAACTAGTTTGCATATATACCTTGGGTGTGACCAACCAAGGTGAAAAATCAAGAACTTTTAAAAGTTATGGTATTATACTGATAGAACTCAGAAAGTACTAACTTGAATATTCTTATTCTAATTGCTTTTCCTTTTTAGTTATTAAAAATAAGAATATTTAAATTAATAACAAGATATTTTATTGGCAGGATTAACCAAATTATCTGTAATGTGTTCCTTGAATGTTTTTAAGTGGAAATATACTTTATACATTCTTTAACAAGTCTGAGGGGATGAGTTACATAAATCAGTTCAGGAATCTATACAAGCTGTAATACATAGTAAAGGTTTATTCACAATTAAAACAGCTTCGCTTCTATATTAAAAAAAAAAACTGTTGAAAGCACAGTGGCTTTTCATAGGTATGATTTGTAAAACAAATTAGCTTTTTTAAAGTGATGTGATGCTTAATGAGAAGAAATCAGTAGAGAATTACAAACTGGACTTCAAAAAATGCATCTAATGTCATTTTTAAAATGAACTTTGAAAAAAGAGTGTGCTCATTTTACAGTCTCATTAAATGAATTAAAATATCAGTGAACATTGTAGTAGATTATCACTGGCAGAGAAGGCTGAAATAGAAACCTTACAATGGGATTCACTGCCATCTGAACATTATGTTGAAGTGGAACATGGAAACAAATTTCTCAGAACAAGTGGTGAAATGAAAGCAGCATCATTTGTAAAGCATTTCTTTTGAGAGTCCTTCAGTTTCTTCTCCTGATGACCTGCCATTCAGAAACTGGCAATGAATAATACACTCTGACACAGCATTTGTCAATTTGCCCAGCACTGTATGAGAGTACTCTAGACAGATATATGTTCTGAGAAAAACCAAATACCTGTTAACTGTAAATCAAATATTGTAGAAACTATGCCATGGTTCATTTGGACATATACTTTGCATGCCTGAAGCAAGTTACCTTAAGAAATCATTCTTGTTTTACAAAATTTGTATTAAAAAATCTAAAAATACAAAAAAGCTTATTATTAGGAATTTATCCATAGCTTTATTTGGAATCTAGTTTCTTTATTATGATCTATAAACATGCATCATTTGATGGAGTTCCTTAATGGAGAGGTGTTTTTCCATGATGTTGCTAAGAAACATTGCCCCGGCACCAGAGGGGATACTACCTGCCATCTTTTTGCCATTTCTCTCTTGTGATTCTTACATTGTACCTCTTTACTCACTGAACCGGGCTTCTTTCTCTTTGTCTAGATTCTAATCAGGTATCTTCTGGGGTGGAAGCTTTTGCTTTTATTTGCACACAACACAGAATTAATAAGATGGATGCCGAGGATTTAGCAACATTTTAATTCAACATTATACAGCTATCAGAGTTCATGAGAATTATGCATTAGTCATTAAATTTGGGCAGCTTATTCAGCTAAAATATAGATGTCTAGCTCTTAAACACTTTGTTTTTTTTAAATTACTCTGAAATTACAATAAAGTCAAAGAACTGAACTGTTTTCAAGCCAATGCAAATGTGCTTTAGTTATTATATTACTTTACTGGTGATTTAATTATGTATTTTACGGCTTTATTACTTAATACTTATATAAGCCTAAAATACATTATTAATGTCATAATTTCAGGAATTTTAGAATTCTTTCCATGAGTTACCATAACTAGGTGCATATATAAAAATATATGTATATATCTATATATATTTATATCTATGTATATATCAATTGATAAGACTAAATAGACTTGGGCATATGTGTTGTTGGTTTATGCATACATGCACAAATAATGAGGTGTCCACAAAGTATATATACCTGTACATAAATTACATACTGGCTAGTGGGTGAATGTAAGCTTCTCTAAATTGCACAACTCTCCACAGAGTGGCACTGTGATATTGCAAATGGTACAGTATAAGCATGTGCAGAATGAACAGCTCTTCCAGGATCCCTATAAAACACCGTCCCAAGTTTCTGTTGAGTCACTATAAAATTGATGACTGAGGCAATACACAAGCAATTATTTATGCAAAGCAGTGTGGGAGGTGCACGAGGAGCCACTTAATACCAAGACATATTTAGATTTGAATGCCACTTTTCTTCAGCTTAATTTTGTTAAAGCATTTGGTATGTTGTTGTGAAATTAAAGTCCTAATTATTTATCAAAATAAGTGGCATAGTCACATTGTTTAATCATTTTCCTCTTTCCACCATGATCTGTGATGCTTAAAGTATCCTATATTCAGCAGGGACCATCTATATCACTGAGCACAATGCCTGCCATGCAGGAAATACTTCAGAATTGAATGGTGCTTTTGTCATCATTTTTGTTGTCACTTCTTATATTTCAGAGTTGAAACCTAGTTTGCTTTTATCAAAGCAACACACTATTCGGTGAGGAAAAAGAGATAAGCAGATTAAGATGATCATCTCTATGTCCTTTCTCAGACTGATACCACTCTTGGTAACGTGATGCTAACTCTACAGCTAACTGAGGTTCCAGAGAGAAATGAAACCTCTATATAAACTTTCCATATGCCTGATGTGACTGCCACATTTATATCAATGTATTAATTTTAGAACTAGGTTGGCATCATTCCCAATTCATCAATATTGTTTATTTCCAAGATGAGATAACTAGACGTTAGTTCTGTGAATTTAGATG